ACTCGGCAGCCGGGGTCGGACTTGTACACACTGACCACTGAGTCTCCTCAGGTAGCTGCGTCTGCGTCTGCGTCAGGTCAGCTGTCGGCCCCTTGCTCGTGTCGCTCCCTGTCGCACAGGACTGTCCTCTGGCACCACCTCCTTGGTCACCCGTCAGTGCAGCGTCTTCGCGGCATGCACTCCAGGTACCTTGTCTCTGGTCTTCCCAGGGTTCTCCCTCCTCTCCCACCCTCGCCTGCTCCTCCCTGTCTTCCCTGTGTCGAGGGGCGGCAGCGCGCCGCACCTCACTCCTCCTCGTTCCCTCCCACAGAGGCTCCCCTGCAGACTCTCCACCTGGATGTGTGGGGCCCCGCCCGCGTCCGGGGACAGGGCCACGAGCGGTACTTTCTGCTGGTCGTCGACGACTACACGCGCTATACCACGGTCTTCCCCTTGCGTACCAAGGGTGAGGTCCCTGATGTCTTGATCCCCTGGATCCGCGCTGCTCGTCTCCAGCTCTGCCAGCGGTTCTAGTCGGACTTTCCTGTCCTGCGTCTGCACTCTGACAGAGGTGGCGAGTTTTCCTCTGACCTCTTGGCAGCCTACTGTGCGGAGCACGGCATCACCCAGTCGTTCACACTCCCGGCCTCTCCACAGCAGAATGGGGTTGCTGAGCGCCGCATTGGTCTTGTCATGGAGGTCGCTCGTACCTCCATGATCCATGCGGCTGCCCCCCATTTCCTGTGGCCGTTTGCAGTGCAGTACGCCGCGCGTCAGCTCAACCTCTGGCCCCGAGTCTCTGTTCCAGAGACCTCGCCTACCCTGCGTTGGACGGGGGAGGTTGGCGATGCGTCGGTGTTCCGCGTCTGGGGATGTCGAGCCTTTGTCCGCGATACGTCCGCGGACAAGCTCTCCTCCCGTGCCGTTCCCTGTGTCTTCCTTGGCTTTGTCCCTGACGCGCCTGGCTGGCAGTTTTACCACCCCACCTCGCGCCGGGTCTTCGCCTCTCAGGATGTCACCTTTGACGAGTCGGTACCCTTTTACCGTCTCTTCCCCTACCGCACTGCCCCGCTCCCCCCTCCGCCGCTCTTCCTCACGCCAGGTGCTGCTTCGGTAGACCCCCTGCCTCCCCAGGGTGGTGCTCCCTCAGGTGTTTCCCAGGTAGACCCGGTCGAGCCTGTCGAGGTAGCTGTTGACTCTGGTCCTGTGCGAGGTGCTGAGCGTGCTGAGCCTGGGGGTGCTGGGTCTGGGGGCGCTGAGCCTGGGGGTGCTGAGACTGCGGGTGCTGGGCCTGGGGGTGCTGCGACTGGGGGTGCGGAGACTGTGGGTGCTAAGCCTGGAGGTGCTGCGACTGGGGGTGTTGCGCCTGGAGGCACTGAGGCTGGGGGCTTTGAGACTGACCGTACTGCGCCTGGTGGCGCTCCTTCTTCACAGCAGCTGCGTGAGTGGTACTCCCAGCGTTGCAGCCTCCGTCGTGGGGCTCCTGGAGCTGGGGGGTCTGCTGGAGTTGGGGCTAGTCGTCCTGCGGGTGCCGTGTCGCAGCCGGAGCCTCCCTCCCCTCAGCGGCTGCGTGAGTGGTACGCTCGGCGCTGCAGCCTCCGGAGTGGAGCTCCTGGTGTTGAGGTACCGCCCGCTGGAGACCCTACCGCTGCTGGAGGTCGTGGAGCTCCTGGAGGTGCTGCTGGTGCTGCTGGAGGTGCTGGCGGTACTGCTGGAGCTGCTGGAGGTTCTACTGGAGCTGCTGGAGGTTCTGCTGGAGCTGCTGGAGGTACTGGAGGTGCTGGAGGTGCTGCTGGAGCTGCTGGAGGTTCTGCTGGAGCTGCTGGAGGCACTGGAGGTGCTGGAGGTGCTGCTGGAGCTGCTGGAGGTTCTGGTGGAGCTGCTGGAGGTTCTGGTGCTGTCTCTGCTGCTGCTGGAGGCACTTCACGGCCGCGGCCGTACTTCGTTCCACTCCTTCAACAGGTTCTTGGTCAGCCGCCTCCTCCTAGTCCTCCCCCCTCCGTAGAGTGTCCTCCGCCTGTCCAGTCGCAGTCACAGCTACCACCTGCCTCGCCGCTTCCTGGTCCTCCTCCCTACACTGGTCCGACAGGCGGTCTTACAGAGCGTCGTGAGCCTGAGTCTCGTCCTGTGTCGCCTGTGTCCCGTCCGGTGTCACCTGTTCGTACTGCTTGCGCTAGTCGCCGTGTACCACGTGCCACCTGTCCCTGGCACACACCGGATGTCACTGCATCCCTCCACTGCTCCACAGCGTGTCCCTCTGCCGTCTCCTCCTCCGTCCTCTCTTCCTGCCCTTGCTGACCTGGAGTCTGACTCCGTTCGAGCTGCCAGTCCTACTGTCACGCGTCTCCTGGCCACTGCTGTCACTGACCCTTCCTTTGAGTCGACTGCTGCGTCTGCCCTAATTGCTGAGCTTGTCGAATTTGCTGCTCGCTGTCGTCTAGACTACGCTGCCAGTCTTGTTGCTGAGTCTGAGTCTGCTTGTCCTCCGTCCGTCGGAGGTGAGTGTGCTCTAGGCACGGACGTCCTTGAGGACAGACAGGAGGACCTTGAGTGTCTTGCAGCCGCTGCGCCCCATCTCGTGTCCATGCTGATTGCCCCTGAGCGAGACCCGGATGCACCAGACATCCCGACTCCTCGATCGTACGCTGAGGCGATCGAGGGTCCCTACTCCTCACAGTGGCAGTCAGCCATGGACGCAGAGATGGCTTCCTGGAAGTCCACAGGCACCTACGTCGACGAGGTTCCCCCACCTGGGGCGAACATCGTCAGTGGCATGTGGATTTTCAGGGTGAAGCGGCCGCCGGGTTCTCCGCCTGTCTTCAAGGCTCGTTACGTTGCTCGAGGCTTCAGTCAGCGAGAGGGAGTAGACTTCTTTCAGACCTTCTCCCCCACCCCGAAGATGACCACTCTTTGGGTACTACTGCACGTTGCTGCTCAGCGTGACTACGAGCTTCACTCTCTTGACTTCAGCACAGCTTTCTTGCAGGGCAGTCTGCACGAGGAGATCTGGCTGCGCCGCCCTCCTGGCTTCACTGGGTCGTTTCCTCCTGGTACCCAGTGGAGCCTCCGGCGGCCGGTCTACGGTCTCCGCCAGGCACCACGTGAGTGGCACGACACACTGAGGACTACTCTTGCGGCACTTGGGTTCGCTCCTTCTACTGCTGACCCGTCGCTGTTTCTACGCACCGACACTTCGCTGCCGCCGTTCTACATCCTCGTGTACGTTGACGACTTGGTCTTTGCCACTGCTGACACTGAGGCTCTCGCCCACGTGAAGTCGGAGCTGCAGAAGAGACACACGTGCACAGACCTGGGTGAACTGCGCAGCTACCTTTGCTTGCAGATCACCCGGGACAGAGCACGCCGCACCATTACCCTGACTCAGTCACACATGGTGCAGCAGGTCCTTCAGCGCTTCGGATTCACCTGGTCCTCAGCACAGGCCACTCCTCTGGCTGTAGGTCACTCGCTCTCAGCTCTGCCTTCGGATGAGTCCGTAGAGTCGAGTGGTCCTTACCCAGAGCTAGTTGGTTGCCTCATGTACCTGATGACTTGCACTCGTCCTGACCTAGCATACCCTCTTGGCCTTCTGGCCCGCTACGTGGCTCCTGGCAGGCACCGAAAGGTGCACTGGGATGCTGCAAAGAGGGTCTTGCGCTACTTGTGCAGTACATCGGGCATGGGGCTCGTGCTTGGAGGAGGGAGCTCAGTTGTTCTCACTGGGCACTCAGACGCTTCTTGGGTTGACGACCAGGCTACTCAGCGGTCGTCACAGGGTTACACCTTCAGCCTTGGCTCTGGCTCAGTTTCGTGGCGCTCTACGCGTTCGTCTTCAGTTCTCAGCTCCAGTTGTGAGGCTGAGATTTACGCCACAGCCATGGCTGCACAGGAGTTACGCTGGCTCACCTACCTGCTGACCGACCTGGGAGAGCGGCCTAGTTCTCCTCCAGTGCTGTACGTCGACAACAAGGCTGCCATTGCCTTGTGTGAGGAGCACAGACTGGAGCACAGAACGAAGCACATCGCTCTCCGTTACTTCCTTACTCGAGAGCTGCAGCAGCCCGGTTAGCTTCGTCTGCGTTACGTGGCCTCTCAGGCCAACACCGCTGATATATTCACCAAGGCACTTCAGCCTGGTGATCATCAGCGCTTCTGCACTTTGCTGGGGCTGGTGCCCACTTTTCCTCACTTGTTGTAGGCTTTACCTGTACTGTGATCTTTATATATATACTCGTGCCTGTCTGCTCTGCTAGGTTGAGATCACCCTTGTTGTTTGTGCTGCATATATACTTCTGCATGTGAACTGGCCATGTGGCCCTTTGCTTGTGCTCGGAATGTGTGGTGACGTTGTGATCCACCCTGAGCTTGCTTGCCTCTCTTGACTGGACTTGTGACCCCTTGCTCTCCCCCACTTTGCCTATGGGGGTGTGTCAAACACTATATGTGTTATTATTGTGTAGGCTATAGTGGGTTAGCCTTTAGGGGGTACACAAAGCTAGGGTTTGCTACTTGTACTTCAACTTTTCATAGTTCAATCACTTCTCATTCTTGACAACTTCAACTTTGAAGTTACTTCCCCGCAACTTTTCAAGGCGATGTTCGGCAACCAGGGGAGGGGGTTTGATGGAGGATCAAAATGGCGGGCCTCCAGGCTCGACCAGTACGAACCAGGCAAAACACTTAGGTCAGGTTAGAAAAATGTGAAAAAAATGTCGAACGTAAGCCTAAAACGCGACGCGAACACCACGCTAGGTGGTAACCCGCGCTACATCCTCCCCCAAAACCTCCCCCATGGCGAAAAAAATCCGCCCTAGTGCCCAGGGAATCCAAATTGCACTCCTGTGAGTGGCCTCACCCACGGGGGATGTAAAATGGATTCCCTCAACCACGAGATTGTTTTATGATTGTACCCCACACTCTAAACTGACGAGTAAACTGGACATCTGAAATGTATTGCAAAACAGTTATATTCAATAAGGTTAAATGGGTGAGTACGACATTTAGGACATTCATTTTAATTTATGGTGTCAAATGTTTTCGGGAAGTGATATACCCAATCCCATCGCAACAGTAAAATGAGGCAGGGAGACGAAAAACTGTTCAGCTCGCGAAGTTTCGTTTCGTGCGGCTGCAGTTTCTTGGGCCCCCAATTCCCGTGTCGCTCATCCGCGCCTTTTCCCCCAAAGGTTCCGCTTGCGCCTGGACCCCAGACTTGGAGTCAACGTTGGTTGACTCCGAGTTGACCACCCCGAACTAGAAACCCTAGCTGAGAATTTCGATCCCTCCCTCCATCCCTCGGTGGATCCCCTGTGCTGCCGAACATCGCCTCTCCGCTGCATCTCACCGTCTCCCCGCGCGCGCAACCTTGCAGGTGACGGACACGCTCATTCTGGAGGAGCGCATTGTGAAGCGCACGGAGCAGCTGCAGCACAACAACGAGGTGCTGCGGCGAGAAATGGAGGCGCTCCTGTCTGCGGGGAGCACCTGCAGCGATGCATCAAGGTGAGGGGCGGTCATGCCACGAGTTACTACATCCACCTTCGTTACTGGAAGGTTCACAGAAGACGCGAAACGAAGAGCTGCGGTACGGTACCACCCACTTGTACCGATCTCTCTGACCTGTGCTTTCGCGTGTGTGCGCATGGCGGCAGGACTTGGAGCAGCCGCACATCACAGCAGTCGCTGGTGCTGGAGCGGATCGTGGCGGAGCTGCACGAGTCGCGCACGGAGGCGGAGTCTGCCAACCACCTCAAGTCGCGGTTCCTGGCGTCCATGAGCCGCGAGAATCGTACCCCCATGAACGGCGTGCTCGGTGAGATGAGCACTTCACGATTGAGTTTACCCCAACTTGGACTGGCATGGTGGCATGGTGCATGTAGGTGGCATGGCGAGGCACATGGGGCATGGCGAGGCGAGGCCTGTAAAAGAATATCCTAGCAACGCGAATTCCATGCCTGCAGCTGGCAGTGCAATTCAGTGTTTTCACTCCCGCCCAATCACCCTTCTGTTTCTTCCTCCAGCTCTCTCCCCTCATCCACCACTCTCTTGCCCCTGTCCCCCCCCCAATCTGTGTGCGTGGCATGGGAGCAGTGAGGACAACATGGTGAATCAGAGACCACGCTGCTAGCGTGCATGGGGTATGAGTGCACCGTCGCTGCCACCTGCAGGCACACCCCTTCGACCTTGTGCTCATTGACGTGCAGGTCAGCGGTGCAGGTGTGAGGGGGGGCATGGACGAGCAGGAGGGAAGGTCTTTTAAGGCATGCATGCCTGTGCGTACTCAGCCTTGCATGCATCTATGCATGCGTGTATGACTGAGTGTATGCACGCATTTTTGCATGCATGGCTCAAGGCACGTGCTTTCCAATTCGTGCTCATACCTCCCCCGCAGACCCCCCTCCAGATTTCAGTGTGAGGCAGCATGGAAGCCATGCACCGCATTATCTCACGCCACCTCAGCACGGGTTGGGCATGGCAACTCACAAGTCACTTGACCTCCCGCGCCCTTCCCCTCCCACTCACTTCGCCCTCTTCTCCTCTACTAGGGGGGATGAGGGGGCAACAGGGGAGGTAGTTACCGGGGGATGAGGGAGCAGAGGGGCAGGCAGCGATTCTCGATAACTTACACCTTAGTGTGCGTGTAGAGGAACCTGTTCGACCGAGCAACTAGACCATGCGAAAACTAAGAGCCACCATGCTTCCCTTGAAAGAGTGAGTATAGTTTTCACATTTTTTATGGGCTTGGTCGTCCGCCAGATTTGCTAGCGTTGCTTCCCGTTCACTGTGCCGCACCGTTCTACAATCAACTGTTCGCTTAGCCCACCATGTATTACTGCTATCCGCATTTCGCTTGCCTTTCGCTTACTAGCTGACCTCGAACTGCCAGCCACCCTTGAAAACACCCTACTTGAACACCCCTCGCAACCCAGAAATGTTCGTACAAGTAGATTAGTTTTTGGAATGTCTCAACTCCGCCTTAGATTTTCAGCGGCTCGCGGAGAGCGCAGAGTCCTCGCTTGGTCGCGCTCGATACATATATGCGCATGCACCCTCCCCTCCTCCTGCGGCCACCCTCCTCGCTTTCTTCTCGTCCACCCGCCCACTTCACCTTCAGCGACTTACTTGTTTAAGCGAAAAGGTTGGAGGAAGTAACAAAAAATTTTCCCGTTTAAACGTAAATGGTGGAAATTTTGTGGATGTTGAAGTTATACTCTGTGATACGACACTTTTAGCACCTGCGGGCTATAAATCTCTTGAGAATTTGGGTGGAGTTGTAGGATTTGATAAGGTAAAGATACCCGATCATTATAAAGAAGAAATGGGAAAACTTCTACGAGAGGATCCAATTTTTTTTTACGAATATGCCGTTTCCGATGCTGTTATTACACTCGCTTATTGGGTGGGAATTCACGCAAAAACTCAGGAAGATGTGGGAAAAAAGTTTTTTCACACGGTGGGATCTATCGCTATTGGATACTTCAATTCATATCTTAAAAAGAGTAAAACAACTCGCAAAAGTTTTTTTGGAACTGAAAATTCTAGTTACAGCCTTTTTAACTCAATGGAACCGCCCCACATTGTGGCAATCCAACTAAAGATCTTGATTCCTGTAGGCACAGCAATAATCATAGTTGCAGCAGTAAAGTACGCACGTGTCAATTCAACCACTAATCTCTTAGTGGCATCAGACTTTATCTTCAACCTAGAATACTCACTATATGCATGCTTAGCACAGTGGTGATACTAGGTGCCAGGCGTAAAGTCTCTGAGGCTCGCAAACACGAAGCGATCAGACAGGACAACAAACAAAAGGTTCCGTTCATGGTTGCGCTTCTTCGCAAGCAAAGAAAACAAGCGCAACCATGCAAAAAAAGCGCAGTTGCGCGAAGCGGGCAGCCTTCGTATGTTCTAGTTAAAACCATTCTCTGTCTGTAAAAGTAGCACGCGATATGTGATATATTCTCTCAATCCCCTCTGTGGTTAAATGCCCTTTTTGTTGAATAATTCCATAAACCTTTCGCCATTTCAAATAACTAATCAATTTAGTTGGCGCAAACCAGTGAAAATGATCAAAATATTTAATAGCATTATAAGCAACTGTCAGAATGTTATCTTATGCTCTAGCCTGTAGTGGGGTGCTCTATAGCGAGTACAACCCTTCTAGGGTTTGCTATTTGTATTCTCATTCTTGCTAGTGCAACCCTCTTCTTTTCTTCTAAACTTTAACATGCTATCAGAGCAGGTCGATCCCCTTGGATCGATCCTGTGGGTGGGCTTACCACCTCCTAGCTTCCGCTGCAACTCCTACCACTACACTCGGTGCCGCACGCCCCGTGGCGTGTGGCAGTTTTTCTTCCCGCCGTGCGCCCCGAGGCGCGCGGCGGTTTTCTTCCCGCCGTGCGCCCCGAGGCGCGCGGCGGTTTTCTGCCCGCCGTGCGCCCCGAGGCGCGCGGCGGTTCTCTGCCCGCTGTGCGCCCCGAGGCGCGCGGCGGGCTTCGGCCCCGTCAACCGTCGCGTCGCCCTCGGGAGGCGCCGCGACGGGCGACGGGGACCCGTTCGTCGCCCCCCGTCGCCCGTCGTGGCCTGCGCGCGGCCCGTACAGGCAGCGCGCGACCCGTACGGGCTGCGCCAGGCCCGCGCGCGACCCGTACGGGCTGCGCCAGGCCCGCGCGCCACCCGTACGGGCTGCGCCAGGCCCGCGCGCGGCCCGTACGGGCGGCGCCAGGCCCGCGCGCGGCTCAGGCCGCCTACGCGCGGTTCGGGCGACCCTACCAGGCCCGTGGTGGGCCCGCTCCTTGCTGCCCCTGCCCTCCCTACTGTCCCCCAGCGCTTCTACTCGTGCCCCACCCCTCCTACTCCCCATTCTCCTGTATTAGGGTTTGGGGGTGCGGGGTATGGGGGTGCACCCACTGTGTACTGTTCCCTGCTCCTCCTCCTCCTCCGTCTCCCTGTGCTGCAGCTGCCGCTGAGGGGGGGTGGACGTGTTGGAGCCGGTGGAGTGGTACTAAGGGGGGGTGAAGGGGGAGTGGAGCTAGCGGTGTAGCAGCGGGTATGTGCCAGGGGGGAGTGGGATAGTTTGGGGAAGCTGAATGGAGGTTGCCGTCGTGTCGCCAGCAGCACCTGTATTCCGGGGACTTCGTCCGGTAGCCCAGTCGTAGCCAGCTGTGCCAGCCGCCCGTGGGTCCGTTGCTCGTCTGCCGCTACTTTAGCCGCGGGGCCTGTTACTCCTGTATTCCGGGGACTTCGTCCGGTAGCCGCTGTGCCAGTCTGCCTCCTGTTGCCTGTGTGTCTGCAGCTTCAGCCGTCGCCTCCTATCTCCTCTCCTCTCACTCTCTCTCCTCCTCCTCACTTGCCCGTTGTGACTACCACTAGCTTTGCTCATAATTGTGAACTTAAACTATTGCTTCTTGAACTTGTGCTCAGAATGTGTGGTGACATTGTGATCCACCCTGAGCTTGTACTCCTTTGCTTACTCTGCTGATTACACCCCACTTTGGCTATGGGGGTGTGTCAGAATGTTATCTTATGCTCTAGCCTGTAGTGGGGTGCTCTATAGCGAGTACAACCCTTCTAGGGTTTGCTATTTGTATTCTCATTCTTGCTAGTGCAACCCTCTTCTTTCTTCTAAACTTTAACAGCAACTTGCAAGTTAGTGGAATTATACCGATAAATTTGAGTTTTTTTACAAAAAGAAATATTGCCGCCTTCTAGACTAGCTTGTATTAACTAAAGAGTAGTTGGATCTTTTTGTGATATTTTATACTCTAATCTTACACATTTGCCGCATTTATGGGTTTTACTGTTAACGATGCTAACATGAAAACAGCCGTCAGCATCTGTGAATCCAGCTAGCCAATGGCTAGTTAGGCACGAAGTGTATTCATTTATCGGTTGAATATTCATTTGAAAAATGGAATCATACTGATACTTTTGTCAGAACATCATAGCTCATGCATATTGTGTAGGCTATAGTGGGGTACACCATAAGGGGTACAACCCAATTAGGGTTAGTACTTGTACCCAATTCATTCATAGTTCATCCATTCCTGTTTTCTTGATTCACATGGTATAGAGCGGGTTCCTACATGGGACCGTTCCTTCCTAAGGGCCCACCATAAGATTTTTTTTTTTTTTAGCTGCCCGCGCACATTGTGCCCTGCCCTAAATTTTTTTTTTAGCGGCCCCTACGCTGCCCCTACGCGGCCCCTACGCCGCCTCCCACGCGCCCCCTATGCGGCCCCTGGCGGCGCCCTGACGAGGCCCCTGCCGGCGCCCTTTCGCGGCCCCTGACGCGCCCCCTGGTGGCGCCCTGACGCGGCCCCTGGCGGCGCCTGACGCGGCCCTGACGCGGCCTGACGCGGCCCCTGGCGGCGCCCTGACGCGGCCCCTGCCGCGGCCCTGACGCGGCCCTGCCGCGGCCCCTGACGCGGCCCTGACGCGGCCTGCCGCGGCCCCTGCCGCGGCCCTGAAGCGGCCCCTGACGCGGCCCTGACGCGGCCCTGACGCGGCCCTGCCGCGGCCCCTGGCGGCGCCCTGACGCGGCCCCTGATGCGGCGCCCTGACGCGGCCCCTGCCGCGGCCCTGACGCGGCCCTGCCGCGGCCCCTGACGCGGTCCTGACGCGGCCCGCTGCGGCCCCTGCCGCGGCCCTGAAGCGGCCCCTGACGCGGCCCTGACGCGGCTCTGCCGCGGCCCTGACGCGGCCCTGACGCGGCCCCTGACGCGGCCCCTGCCGCGGCCCCTTACGCGGCCCTGACGCGGCCCTGCCGCGGCCCCTGGCGGCGCCCTGACGCGGCCCCTAACGCGGCGCCCTGACGCGGCCCTGCCGCGGCCCCTGACGCGGCCCCTGCCGCGGCCCCTGACGCGGCCCCTGACGCGGCCCCTGTCGCGGCCCCTGACGCGGCCCCGCCACCTACCTTTCCGGCCCCGCCGCCTCCTCTCAGCGGCCCCGCCGCCTCCTCCCAGCGGCCCCGGACGCCGCCCTCTCAGCGGCCCCGCCGAGCCGCCCGGCAGCCGAGCCGCCCAGCAGCTGAGCCACCGAGCCGCCCAGCAGCCGAGCCGCCGAGCCGCCCAGCAGCCGAGCCGCCCAGCAGCAGAGCCGCCGAGCCGCCCAGCAGCCGAGTCGCTGAGCCGCCCAGCAGCCGAGCCGCCGAGCCGCCCAGCAGCCGAGCCGCCCAGCAGCCGAGTCGCCGAGCCGCCCTGCAGCCGAGCCGCCCGAGCCGCCCTGTCCGGTAAGAGCAGCGCCTCTCTCACAGCACTGCCCTCACCCCACTGTTTGCGCTGCTAGTCTACTGCTGTCATGTCTACCCCTAGTGTCCTCGCTTTTGACGCTGAGGGTCGGGCCATTGACTTTGACGTCTGGATAGATGACCTGCAGCTTTTCTTACAGTGCGATAGGGCAGACGGCCTCTCCCTCTTTGACCTCACTTCTGGTGCCTCTCCTGCCCCCGCCACTGATGCTGACGCAACTGTTCGCTCCCAGTGGGCCACGCGCGATGCTGCTGCACGTCTTGCTGTGCGTCGCCACCTGCCTACCTCTGAGCGTGCGCACTTTAGCCAGTACAAGAGTGCTCAGACCTTGTACGACGC